CACGCCCCCCGCGGCCGGCGGGGCGGGGCCAAGGAAGGGGCGAGCGCTTCCTCTCGCCGCGCCGCGTCCCATTGGAGGAACGGCGCGGTGCGCGGCGGCGGCCGATTGGCGCCGCCGGGCGCCCGTCGAGGCTCCGAGCTTTTAAATGCGACAGTTGGCGGCGGTGGGGCGCCATTACGCGCCACGCGGTCGGGTGCATATTTCTGTATAGGGGTTGGGCGTGGGTAGCTAAAAGCAGATTAATGAAATGTTACGGGCGCAAAAAAAAAAACAAGGGGACCTGTCTAGATGTTAGGTGTGAAGGCAGAGATTAGTAGAATGACGGGTCGAAAATAACGTGTATTCCGTTAAACTGCTGCAAGGGGCTTGAAAGAGGAGGGGGGCTGTGTTGGGACCTGCTGGCTTCTGGTCCCGATTGCCAAACTCAAGCCTTTTTTGCTTTGATTAGGGCGCGTGGCACCCTGGGGTGCTGCTTTTGAGGGTTTTCTGTGGCATTTAGCCCTGCTAGGTGTGCACGCGTGATTCATGAGAGGGGAAACCAGCGGGCTTTCATACAGGAATCAACAGAGTTCAAATTGTTGTGGTGTTGGGGGCTTACTCAGAGCTTTGCGACAGGACAAAAACAATGTGTCCAAAAAAAACACTGCTGAGTGAAATCAGTATTTTCTGAGGAGCGCCGAAAGGTGCCTGACATAGAAAAATTGAGAACCGTCAGTTTAGTTTACTGCTGTGGAAATACCCAGTTGTTGGGGTGTGCGAGGGCAGCAGAAGTGCCCAGGCTTAACGGCTGCCAAACTCCAAAAGCTGTTGACTCCTGCCAAACGTATGGCCTCACCGTCTCTTGGGTTTAGGGGGAAAGGGCAATGGAGATGGGCATTCTTGATTAGTGCGAGGAACTGGTATGATCAGAGAACCAAAATGATATGCTGTGAAAACGAGGACTGCAAGCTTGTATTGGGTGTAGTGGTGAAGCAATGTGAAGCCTTTAAGGAAAGAGAGAATAGTATGGTTGGGGTTCACCGAGCAGAGATTTGACCGAATGTGATGGTCCAGAGGAGGTGGTAGGTTTTGCCACGGTCTGATAAAAGGGTCTAGAGCCTGATTCTCAATCGGGGGCCACAGCAAACCAGGTTCACAAGAAAAAACTAGAGATTTCAAATACGGATTTAGCATTAAAAACTGCTCTGCTCTGGCAATGGTGATTGATCTTTCTGAGCTCTTTGCAATGGAAAAATTACTTGTCATAGTTTTCAGTCAAAAAATAAGTGAAAATGAAGAGCTGGCATCTTCCATGGGGGGCCTTGAGCCTAATGAGGGGTGCTTTGAGCAAAGATTGAAACCACCAGTTTAGAGAAGGGAGAGGGCAGGATGGTGCCTAGGTTATATGTAGCTTTGCGTTATCAGGTAGCGGTGCTCTGAAACACTGACTGAAAATGGCTGGGGCATAATAAAGAAGCCTAGCCCTTGTTCACTTGTGCTTGCAAATGCATCTGGCAAGGTGTTAAGCTTCTTGCTTTTTCTGTGAGGTCTTTTGGTCTCGTTGTGGCAAAGAGGGATCTCTTAGACATAGAAAAGCTGGAAGCAATGATTTTGACTGGAAATATAATGGATCTTTTCCCAAGTGTTACGCTGGGAATTTGGGAATCATCAACGTCACTAGAGCTCAGGCTTAAAGCAAATGGTCATTTCTTCAAAGAAATGCACTGTTGCTAATTTGGCAATGCTGTTTCTTTGGGGAAGCTATGGCAAGGAGCAAGTGAGTTGCTGGAGTCTATCCTTAGACAGATGAAAAAAAGGCTGAAATACCTTTTTCTCTTCAAATTTCCCCAGAAAAGGTCTTTTATTTCCCATGACAAGCACAATTAGCATCAAGAAAGGGGAGAACTGTTGTAAGCCCAGAGGAGGAAAAGAACAATTTGGGGATTATTTCAGTAAGCTTAGCATTTTCAAAGCAGCAGGACCTGATGAGATTTCTCTTGGAGCACTCAAAGTATTAGCTGAATTAATTGCAGGCTCATTGACCTGTTATGTTTGAGAGGTGAGGTGAGGTCTCAGAGCTGGAAGAGGACAAATGCAGTAGTTTAGAGAAGGGGAAAGGAAGATGAAGCAAATTGCAGAGCAGTCTAAGTTTAGTGCTGGGGAAGACACTGGAGGACAGACGGACGGACACACACAAAATTTGTACTAGCTTAAAATAACTAGCTGATAAGTGACAGCTAGCATGATTTTATTAAGGGCAAGTCAGGTGTAACCAATCTGATTGTTTTCTCTGACAAGGTAAATGAGCCTCCTGTGCATGGGGTGGGAGAGGGCAGTGGAGGCGATGTACCTTGTTTTTAGTATGGCTTTTGATACAGGCTCCTGTGCCATTGCCTCGAGCAAGCTAAGGCAATATCTAGGTGCAACTAATACAAGGTTGGAGCATAACTGATTGGATAATCGCATTTAAAGAGTAGGAGGAGGCACTGAGTGGAGTCCTCCAGGATGTGTCCTGGTCCAGTACTGTTCAAATACCAGTCATTAACGAGTGAAGTGCATGCTTCGTGCATTTGCAGATGACCTCAAGCAGGACGGGAGTAAGATTCAAAATGATTTGGATAAAGCTGAGAAATAGTCTTAAAGAATTAGGATGCAATTCAGTGAGGGCAAGTGAAGAAGGAACAGTCAGATACCCAGATACAGGCTAATGACTGTCTAGGCTAAAGCCACGTGGAGAGAAGGAGCTACGGTTCAAGTGAATTGCAAGCTGATGTGGGTAAATGGCATGATTTTGTATAAAAGCAATGCCATCCTAGGTTATATTCATAGAAGTGCAGCATGAAGTGAATTCTTGTTCTGGGCGGCCCTAACCTACCTCAGTTTGGGGCCTGGCACCTGCAGAGAGATGTGGACAGAACCCGGAAGAGACCAAACCAAAATGGTTAAAAGTCTAGGAAGCACTGACATAAGAGGAAGGACTGGAAGAATAGGGATTATTTAGTTTAGAAAAGAGAAGAATGTTTTAATTTCTATGTGAGGTAACTTGGAAAGCTGTGACATCTTGCAATAACATGACTGCAAAACATTAAAGAAAAAGGATGTGCTATTAGACAGCTTTTACAGATGGGCAAACAAAGGCACAAATATATCGGGTGCCCTCTCCATGTCCATGCGAGTCAATGGTAGGCCTGGGAACAGAAGCCTTGATAGCTCCCCTGCTGGCTTTCTCCACTCAGTCTGCCTTTAGATTGGGGGTTTTGGGCAAATTAGTGTAAAAACAGACCTTCATTTTGGCTATTGTATTAGTGTTGACCCAAAAAGCACTAATTTGGGGATTAATTAGCCCAACAGTAAATGAAAAGGGGTGGGGGCCTACCCTCACTGAGCATAGGCCTGCAGCCTGGTCCCACTCACTGCTAAAATAATTAGTAATAAATGACACAAAATAGTGGGGAATCAACCATAGGCAATGTGTAGATGGGGGCACGTGGCCCCCTCCCTGAGATTGGCCCTTGCTGGCTGAGGAGTGGGGGGTGCCAGCTGGTGCCCCCCGATATTGTGGGGGTGCTGAGAGAAGTGTTGGTGGCACCTTCCGGGTTTGCAGCTGGAAGTGCTGCTGAAAGCTGTGATTGGCTGCTGCGAACTCCTCCCCCCCCCCGTTCCGGTTGGCAATTGGCCGCTGGTGTCCCGCCAGCATCAGGAGCCACCAGTCGCCCATGGAATCGACAATATCTGTACTGAACAACAGGAACAATAAAAATAAATCAATGAAACAAGAAGCAATAATAACACCAACCACCTTAACTCTGCTGTAGGATACAGAGAAGAATTCCCGCAGCGGGTGCTAGGGAGCAGCTCAGCTCTCCCTCCCGCTATCTGCATGCCTTCGCTGACTGGTGATCCACTCGCACAAACTCGCTATCTCAGCATCGCTTCTCACTGGCACTGGGGCACACTCCTCTAGAGCGCTCTTGCACCTCTCCTCAGGTACAAGCTTCATGTGCAACCTTCCCACCTACGCAGGAGTGTGGCCACTCCGAGCCCTCGTTCGGGGCATACATGTGGTCCAGTTGACTGATGTGTGGGGGGGCTCAAACTGCATCCCAGCCCCTTGGCCAGCCCTACAAACCTGAGATCAGCCGCATCATCACCCAGGACCGTGTCTGTGACATTGTGTAAGGCAGCAAGTGCTTGGTGCTGTCAGGGGCCCTGTGGTTTGTGGCTGCCCTGCGGAAGGGCCGTGGTGTTAGATAGAAGTAGTTTACGTGTTAGACTAAAATAGTAAATGTAGCCGGTAGGGGAGATCCAGCTTGACTTCTCAGGGTGCCTGGCCCCCAGGCCCTGTT